CTGTTGGTTATAGGAAAAAGCACTCCGCCTCGCTGCTTTAGAGGACTTAGGATAGAGAGTTTAAAAGTTGTGTATCGTGCGAACAGAAATGCGTGGATGACTTCTGAATTTTTTAAAGAATGGCTGAAGGATTGGGACAGAGAGCTACAATGACAGTCGAGAAAAGTGCTACTTCTTCTTGACGATTGTGCAGCACATCCTCATTTAGATTGCTTGATGAAAGTCCAACTGGAATTTCTACCTCCCAGGACCACAGCTTTGGTCCAGCCAATGGACATGGGCATCATAAAAAATTTGAAGAACCTTTATCGTGCAAGGTTGGCTAATTACATCCTTGAAGCAATTGCAGGAAGTTTGCTGACCTCATCGTCAAAAGCCAGCGAAGTCAGTGCAAATCTCAACATCTTACAAGCAGTTAATTTGTGGCCAACAGCTGGCGAAAAGTGAGCAGTGAGACAATTCAGAACTGTTTTTCTCACCGTGGCTTCAAGCACTTGGTTTTGGAAATGGATGTGGACATGCTCATTGAAAGTGAAAATGGTGATATACATGTGGAACTTCAACAGGTACAAAATTGTGAAGAATTTTTATCCATTGACAACGCGCTTCAATGCTACTATGAAAATGAAGATTACGACGGTGCAATCGTCGCTCGCGTTGCAGCAAAACACACCACAGCATAGAAAGACCAAGAAAGATGATGATGATGCCGTTAATAAATTGGTGCAAGTGATAAGACAAGATGCAAGGAAATGCATTAAAACTTTGTGTTGGTATTTCATGCAGGAGGGAAATGAAGGCAGTCCCATTGCTGTGTTAGATGTTTGTGGCGATTTCGTTCACGTGCAATCGGTCAAGAGAACGCATCAAATCACATTGGATAAGTCCTTAAAATGTTGACTGGAACTTGGTAAGAAATTGTTTTTATTGTGCTTCACATGTTGAGTATCATGGAGACAGTTTCTTAGAATTTGTTTCTAAATTAATTTTCTCAATGGAAAAAAGTTCGACTGTATTTCTTGTTTGTACATGTATGTTCGCCATACGTGTGCACCGCACCATAAAGTTCAAAATTACATTTTATTACTTGATTTGCATGTACATTTACTGTTTGCTATAGCACGTTCCGTCTTACAACATAGAACATGTTCGTATAATTGGACCAGCCGGTTATTAGGACCAAAACGATCGCTTTCCCATGTGGTCCGATTAACCGGAATCGACTGTATATCAACACCATATACTTACATGGTGTTGAATCTATATACTTATATGGTGTTGGCCATCTTTTCATTTTTAATGCTTATTAAACCCAAATATCGTTCAACACTGAAAAACACTACAGATGCTTTGTGTTCAGAAGTGTCAAATATTGCACCAGATTTAATTCATTGCATAGCAAAAACAAGTGCATCTGTCACATTAAAACATGATTTTTCTTTCATTAATTATTGCATACTTGAAACAAATTCTAAAACTACTTTTCTCATAGTATCATATGTAGTTTACCAAAATTAATTATTAATGGGGAACACATACTTTCCTACTTTATTTTATATTTAATATCTGGAGTCATAAAAAATGCTCTATGATAAAAAATAGAGTCCTGAATGAAAAAATTTTAGAACTGCTAATCAAGACTAATATAAAAATAAATAAAATTAAATTATCTTTATTTTAAACTTTATCAAATGAGAATCTATTGTGTTAAAAAAAAAAAAAACCTCAATTATTTAACATAAAAAAAGAAAAGAAAGCTAGGGGGGGGGGGGAAAAATCACAGAATCAGTTAGGTATCAGAAGTTGTTAAGCCATTGAATAATGCATTACCATATAAAACACATTTATGAAAAAGTCTGGCTAATTAAAAAAAAAGAAAAGGCCTGTTTATTGATGTTAGCTTCATACTCTTAAAAATTAACTACTAAATAGGTATAATATCTAATATAAAAGCGATAAGAATTGAACATCATTAAGAAATAATCTTAGAACAAACTATGCAAATTTTTCTACAGCGAAGAAGTGATCTTTTGAGCATGGTTTTCTAAATGAAGTAGTCGAGACTTCTGTGCATGTAAATACAAAATACATTAAAACATACTAGGAGCAGCAAATAAAAACAACATTTTTTCTTTATTAAACCAAATATACTGCAAGGAAGTGAAGGAAGAAAAAATAAAGGACATTTTAGCCTCACATGTAAATGCACTTCAAAGTGAGAAAAGTACACTCACAAAACTCATACTAAAAATAATATTTGAATAAAATTAATTATTAATAGAAATATATAAAATGAAATAATAATTTTGAAAAATTTTAAGATCTAGCATGAGAAAAAACTAACAATTTTCTATCGAGATATGCAATGCATGGCATTAGAAACACCTTTTATTTATAAGAATCGTACAAAAAGTTCACAATTATCAACTGGATACATAATAAACAAAAGCATTTTAAACTGTATGTGCTGTTGTTCTCCCTATGTACCCAGTAACTTTTTTTTCTTAAAAAAAATCAAAGACCTCTAAACTTCGCATCTGAACAACTTCAGGATAGTCAGGATAGTGCCCTGGATAAAACAGACATATACTATGTGCATAACTGGATTGCAACATAAATACTTTTTGCCAATATGTGGCAATATACTGCTTTGCCTGATAAACAGTTTTTTATGAATTTTCAGTGATGGTGAAGGAGGAGGGAACAGATAATTACAAAATACAAAAAGGACATATTTTTTTTTTTTTTTTTTTTTCTATAAATACGTCTCTCACTTTTTTTAATAAATATTTCTCTCTCTTTATATATATATATATATAATAAAACACTTCTCTCACAATTACCAATTACTTAAGGGAGAAAATTCTTCAAAAAGATATCCTTAAATTTTTCTAGCTATTTATATCCAAATATATTACATTCAAAAGAAGTATACTTCTGATTTCTTTAACTTTTGTTAATATGATGACACTTCATGAGTTTTATTTACGGATTAGTGACTTTTATATAAATACTAAGAGGACATTTAACTGGGATAAATTACATGAAAACTCCTCGTAAGAAAAATTTTATTTTTATCAACTTATGTATTAATTGATTAATTGCTTTTTCAATTACAGTAAACCCTTGCCGAATGCATATGCAAATACAGTGTGTGTATGGGAAAATTACATTCCACAAAACCCTTTTGCTATGAAAAAAACAGGTTCCGTGCATTTCAGATTAAGAAAGCAAGTATAATAAAAAATTAATGTAATTAGAAATGGAATGAAACAAATGTTAATTAAAGAAATTTCTATTATTGTTTAATAAGTAGGTACATGACTTAATTATTTTTTTATATAGCTAGTAATTTTGCTTGGGACAATATCAGATGCAGTTCATTAAAAATTTCGCGGAAAGGAGCACAAAACTTTTCAATAACTCTCATAAAATGTCCTCTTCTTTATTTGTTTGGGTGAATGTCTATTACAAAAAATTACACAATACTCGTTTTTTTTAAGAATTTGTTTAACTTTTTGTAAAGGCTCTTTGTCTTCTTCATAATCGGCCAAGCAGCAAAGTTGCTGAATACAAGTAGTTCAGTCCAAGGTTTGAATCCCGCGAACGGGCTAGTTGCATGGGCATTTTCGTGGTTTTCCCCATTTGTAATGTGTATATGAGCCAGTTTCCCTTAGAAAGTCCTCCAAGAAGGCACCCTTTCCCTTAGGCAGATAGCTCTTGAGGCTTTGCCATTATCACACAAACCAAACCTTCTTCATTATCACTGTTCACTGTTGGCTGGTATAATAAGATCATCTATTTTGTCATTTTACGATCATCATTCTTTACTAATTCTTTGATTTCTCCTTCTAAAATACCTAAAAATTATTCCCTGCCTATTGCTTTTGAAATTTGTATGATTTCCTTGACTTCATTTTTAATCAATGGAAATCCTTTAACACCGCTGACTTCTTGCCAATGCTAATACCACGAAACATTTACTGTTCATAAATTCACTTGTTCTTATGCAAGTTTAACCCTCCGAGCATTACAAGTTTAGCCCTGAAATTTTAAAGTTCCTCAAAATGTCATGAATAAGTGGTATTTTCTTGAATTTAATTAAAAAAGGACTCTCTAATTTTGTACCTTGATTCCTTTTCTTCCAATATACATCCAAACCGAAATCATATACATTAAAAACTAGCAGAAATTTTCATGTATAATTAATATAGAAGGCAGCCTTCTATGCGGAATTTTCCGGCCGTAATGCTGAGAGGGTTAAACATATCTTTGCAGTGTTTTATGTTGAACTGCTTTCAAAATGTCATTAAAATGTTGTGTCTCCTTTGTCTAGTGCTTTATTTGCAAAAACAGTAATTTCTGCAAATACAGTACAGAAAGTGCTTTATTTTCAGAAATAGTAGGTTTTGAATGTTTTTGATTTCTTGATCCACTGGTTAAAATTAAGGAAATAATGTTCAGTGGAAAGAGTAAAACCTTTACAAATGGATGCAATGTGTGTGCAATTGTTAGGGTTTCATAACGAGTCCTAGAGCATTATCAAGAATTAGGAAAACTTTAAAGCTCAGGCCTTTTTATTATAGGTAAATGTTTGACTTTCTTAATGAATGAATTTTCAAACCAGTCAGTAAAAAAGGCTATCACAATGCAGCAGACATTCTACAGCATACTGCATACAATTAAATTCTCATGGCCGACAAACTAAACGGAGACCATTACGATACTTCATACGTGCAAAACCGCATTTTACATGTCTGCATTCGGCAAGGGTTTACTGTACCTCATTATACTTTTGTATGTAATATGAGAGAAAAAGTAAATATTTTACTTTTAAAAGATCCTGAGATGAAAATCTAAATAAACCTGCTGAAACTTACCCTTGCACAATATGAAATTATAAAATTTCCTATACATATTTCCAACATAAAATATAGCATATTATACACTATCAAATATTTTACAATAAATATATTAAAAATTAAAATAAAGGACATTACCAACCACAATCATCATCAACTGCAATTGACACAATATCTCGAGCAACAGACAGCCATTCAGTTTCAACCCATGGCAAAACAGATTTATGAACAGCAGCATAAATAGTGCCCTTGTAAAGAGCCCATACAACAGTTTCTGAAGGAGAAACTGCTATCTTTTCTGCTGGCTGGCTAAGTTCCATCCAATGAAGGCCTAAAACAGGATATTTAGAAAAGTACATTTGATTCCTGATATCCACACAAAATATGTGTTCATCGCTGGTGCAAAGATCTAGTAACAGCTCAGGAGCTTTGTACTGCACCCAATCCACTCCATACTTTGGCAATTCCTTATCAAATTCCAATTCAGATAATGTTTCTGGTTCCTCAGCTGATTTAATATCACTTTGACTGGCAGAACAAGGAAGATTTGATTGCTTAGATACATACATTTCATTATCTAAAGATTGATATATTTCATCTAAAACGTTACAATTTTCACAAGAAGCATCTCTACTGTTTATATCAGTACTGTGAGTTTGCTGATTAGACAAATCACTATAATTTGCATTATCATTAATTTTACTTAATAAACTTGAGGACGTTTTATCATTCTCAGAAAGAAGAGAATCAGAAACACACAAGTTTAGATTAACATCTTTTTCTATTTGAGAATCAGACAATTTAACATTAGAATTGGACAGAGGAATATTTTCTAGTTCCGTATTAAATATATTATTTCTTTGACTAGCATCATACTGAGTTTCAGATGGTTTATCACTATATAAAGATGCAGTATTTTGCAACTCAGTATTGTCTGTATCACTTCTTGATACATTATTATCATTATGATCACTATGATTCACTTTTAAATCTAAAGATTGTTTTAAGTCAGTACTGCCCATCTCATTAATTGCTACATCATCATTGATTTCTAGATCTAAAGAATCAGGAACATCAATTGCAATCTGTGTTTTTTTCTTTTCTGCATTGTTATCTAACTGTTCATCAGTCTTTAAGGAAGTTTTCAGTTCAGTATTTGTATCTGAAGAATTCTTGCTGTGTTTGTCTACAAGTGCCTTTTGAAAACGAACTAAAAAAATAAAATAAAGCAGCATTTTTTTATGTAAATTGTAATAAAAATTTAAATATAAAGATGTCGCTAATACAAATTCTTATACCTAATATTAATTAACATACTTCATTTTTATACTTTAAGGTAACTTCAAAAATATATGGGAAGATAATATCATAAATCAATATTATATGCAGATATGGATGTAATCATTAAACTTTAGCTCTGTTTTTATAGTTATAACATAAGCTGAGTATTAAATATGTTTGTTTAAAACATTGTGCTTTTTTTAAGCATTATAAATGTAGGTACTAAATTAAAATTACAAAAAATGTATTACTGCTAAAAGAAATAAACACATATAAAATACAAAATGATACATTATTACTAATACAGTACAAAGTCTGTAATCCGGACGTCCATTACCCAGAATGATATATAATCCGGACCTCAAAGCCACAAACTTATACTAAAGACTTAAACTTATACTGCTAAAAGAAATAAACACACATAAAATACAAAATGATACATTATTACTAATACAGTACAAAGTCTGTAATCCGGACATCCATTACCCAGAATGATATATAATCCAGACCTCAAAGCCACAAACTTATGCATGCACGCAAAGCGTTTACGCATGTGCGTTTGATACACACGTCCGCTATGCATGTACGTAAGGCCAGTAAAGCGTTTACCCATGCGTGCTTCCGATAGTGAAGAAAGTAACAGAGAACGTTATTGAAAACGAAAAAATTTCGATTGACAAGTTAGTCGGTATTCTTGACACAGCAATTACAGGACTTGAACAGTGAAACTTTCTAACTGAAGAAGAAATTATGTCTGTTTATAGAATTAGCACAAAAAACAAAGCAACTTAAATAACTTACATTAATAGAAATGTTTACTAAAGTAAACAAATAAATATTAAGCTTTTTTTCCTTGTAAATTTTGATACCCTTTAGATCATAATTGCTCTTTATTTCATATTTTTAATTGTATAATTTCTGCTTGCCATCTTACCAGATTTAAATTGATTTTCTATAATCCGGAAAAAACCCCTAATCCAGAGTCACCGAAGTTCGAAGTCGGAGGGGGGGGGGGGGGGGGGGGGGGGGGGGGGGGGGGGGGGGGGGGGGGGGGGGAGTCCCGATGGGGGGGGGGGGGGGGGGGGGGGGGGGGGGGGGGGGGGGGGGGGGGGGGGGGGGGGGGGGAGGGGGGGGGGGGGGGGGGGGGGGGGGGGGGGGGGGGGGGGGGGGGGGGGGGGGGGGGGGGGGGGGGGGGGGTGGGGGGGGGGGGGGGGGGGGGGGGGGGGGGGGGGGGGGGGGGGGGGGGGGGGGGGGGGGGGGGGGGGGGGGGGTGGGGGGGGGGGGGGGGGGGGGGGGGGGGGGGGGGGGGGGGGGGGGTGGGGGGGGGGGGGGGGGGTGGGGGGGGGGGGGGGGGGCGTGAGTCCGGATTACGGACTTTGTACTGTATCTGATTTATTCTCATTTTTAAATGCACACTTTTATCCTGTTTTCATATTAAAATTTTCTACTATTACTTTACCAAAACACTTTCTATGATGACAAAACTATATATAAAAATATGTTTAATGAATTTATACTTAGAGACATGGAAGATCAATAAACAGTAGATAAAATGCTTTATTTTTTATTGAACAGAATTTAACAAACATGTAAAATCATAATTATGACCTTAATGCTTGACGCAATATAATTTTCACAGGGAGGTGCTGTAAAAAATTAAGCCTTGTAGGGTGTTCCCAAAGTTCTATAATTCATTCCTAAGAAAAGAGTGCTACCAGCCAGAGATAAGTCTTGACATGTTTATGCAACTATTCAGTTGATTGACTTGTTTGACTGATACAGGCACATTTTTGTATTTTGCAACCATGGAAGATGTAAAGAGCAGTCATTTCTTTTTGTGAAAAGAGTGTATGAAAACTTTAGAAACTAGTCAACATCTACGAGAAGTATTCTGTTTCCACATTTGAGAAAAACTTTACAGAGTGTTCAATTTGAGAGTTTAGCCATGCCATTAACAGGGTTCGTACACATTTCTGCACACGGAAATTAAGTACTTTTAAGGACAATTAATGAAAAAATGAAGGACCTTTGAGCAAAAGGGAACTGAATAAATTCAATTGAAGACATTATCTATGCCTGAATTTCACTTTTGAAATACCATCCTAAAAATAAAATAGATCCCTAAGTAGTATGCATTATTACTAAACATGAATTAACTAACATAATTGTTAATAAGTTTGAGAACAAAATAAACTATGCAATTTCTCAAGTAGCATTAAATATTTTACACTTATGATATTTGGCCATATTTGAACGTTTATATCGATTTCCTTCTCTTTTAAGCATCTTATCTAACAATTAGAGTTTTGTATCAATATGCAAACCAATGCTCTCACTAGTTTCTGCGTGCTTCATCTCCTAACTTGTCAACCTCTCCATAATGTACCTATGAGGGTTTAATTAATCTGGTAAAAGTTAAATAGACCAAACCCCCGACAGATGTGAAGCATATTATTGCTATGTCTGAAAGTAACTACAATATCAGACAAAGGTTTAAATAAGCTTCTTATTTAAAAAGAACTTAGAACACAAAGGCATGTTCTGATGCTAACAAAATCAATTACAGCTCACGGTGGTGTAATTAAACAAGAACAGTCAAATTCAAACTAATAATGTGGACTAGTTGTCAAAGATTATACAATTTAATTGTAATTTAATCTGGTTCAATAACTCTATCATATGAGGAAATACAAATGGGAAATTATAGTAAAGGTTGAAATCATAAACAGTTGGGAAATTTCCATAATAATAGCTGCACATATCTTTAAAGAATAATTTGCTTTATGTACTCAGTTTCTTTCTTCAACAGGTTTCCTTTACATTTTAGAATTTTTGGATTTAATTAAGGATTTCCGCTATTCTAAAAAACACTAAATGCATTTAGAATGTACAGATAAAGCGGCTAATTTTATTTCTTTAGTAATATGAACATTCAGAAGCAATATGAAATATATATATATATATATATATATATATAGTAAAGGACGGTTACAGAGCTGATGTGGCAGAATTTCTAGAATTTAATGACACACCGAACAAAAAAATCTAGAAAGGGCAAAATTTTTAGAATTTAGAGGAAGCATTGGAAGCAGAATTTAGAAAGGCAGTAGGCAGCAGAACTTAGGATCCACAGAGATTGCATCAGGTGGGGAAATGCCTAGTGCCAGCTATGTGCATGATGTATTAAGAAATATTAGAGGAATCTTTTTAATTGTTTTTCAGTTTCTTTAATAATAAAATAATCCCTTTCTATAATGCCTGTCCATGTGATAAGATCAGAAGCATTTTTGATGTTATCCATGCTTCTGTCTAGTGAAAAGTAGAGAAAATAAAGAGAAGATAAACATGTTAAGATTCTAGTATCAGAAGTAATACATTCAAATATTATGTTTTCATTGTTCTTCCAGATGTTCTCCCAAAATTAAGAAATTCATTGTAAACTTTCTGTAAAATACATCCATTACGTTTTGATACCATGGAGACATTTTTCATTTTGTTACATATTTCTGGAATCTTATAGAATCGTGGGTCTATAAATCTTGCCTTCAAATCCTTTTAAACTTTCCAAGCTGCAATGTCTAAAATCCTAAAGAAAAATTATCCCAACCATTTCTGTAACAGTAAAAAGCCAGATATATTTTGGAAAAAAGGTAGGAGGGATAAAGTATAAAATTAATCTTATAGAGAAAACTGATGCACATTCTGAGAATTTTGAATATTCTGAGACAGTTACATGGGAAAAACTCTTACTATGAAAAAATTAAAAACAAGACATTTTTAATTAATTACATAGCTAATTTTGCTTTTGCTAACAGTTGTTTCGAAAATTGTGCTTTATAGCATTATACCTTGTTTATTTTTCAGATTTAAAATATTGTATAAGTTGCCAAAATGAAATTTTATGATATGACAGCGAAAAATAAAAATGTTTTATTTTAATGTTATTTTTTAAATATAATTTCAATATATTACCATTATTTTAATAAAATTTATCCATGTTATGATGTTTTAAAAAGAATCATCGAAAAATACTCAGATTTTGGAATTAAAAATTTTCTATAGAAACTAATCTTAAAATCGCCAAAATGTTGATATTATTAAGTCGCCAAATTTAGAACCGTTTAATAAAAGAATGCACATCCCCAAAAGCAAATGGTTGTTTAAGAGCTCTTTACTGGAAAAAACGAATTTCGAATGCTTATGTTTCACTTCTTGCTTAGAAACTCGAGTATCCCATCATTTATATTAGAAATAGAAACAAATTATAACTCATGAACCCATTCAAAAGATTACCATATACATATTTGGACACCTGTGATAGAAAAGAAAAACTATATTCAAAATCAATAGTTGGTAGAGCCTCCATGAGAGGTAATTACAGCGTGGATCCTCAGGAACATACTTTCCACAAGTCTTTGCATGACAGCTAGTATTTTCTTCCACTTGGCTTGGAGAAGACATAGAAGTTCCTTCACCGATTTTGCACGGGTAGTGCACCCCTGAATTCGACGATGCAACTCGTCCCAGAGGTTCTCGATAGGGTTCAGGTCTGGACTCTGGGCAGGCCAGTCCATTCGATGAACTCCATTGGCACCATACCAAGCCTTGGTTAACGTCCAAACATGACAACTGGCATTGTCAACCTGAAAGTAACAGGGGTCCAACCCGTAAAACTGCCACGTAGGAAATCCAAAACAGTCATCCAAAATAGGAAGCACAAAATATTGTCATCCAAAATATGTCATCCAAAATAGTGCAGTATTCCAAAAATTATATATTATATATATATTATATATAACAATATCCAAAAATTGTCATCCAAAATAGGCATAAGCATCGGAGTTGAGCTTACCATGAATGGGGACCAAGGGTCCCAGCCCATACCAGGAGAAACACCCCCTGACCATAATTCCACCTCCGCCGAACTTGACTGTTGGCACAATGCATTCTGGCAGGAGACGATCTCCAGGTAGACGCCAGACCCAGACCCTGCCATCTGAACGGTAAAGGGTGAACCTTGATTCGTCACTCCAAAGAACCCGTTTCCACTGATCTACGGTCCAATTTTGATGTGCTTTGCACCATATTAACCGAGCAGCGCGGCTGGACTTTGTGATCAAAGGCTTATGGGCAGCAGCACGACCATGAAAACCAAGCAGATGTGCTTCCTTAGGGATGGTATTCATTGAAACGATACTCCCGGATACCTGTTGAAACTCCTATCGGATGAGGGCCATCGGTTGGGTGCGGTTCTTCCGAATTTCTCTGGACAGCACTCGTCGGTCTCTATCTCCCAGTTTCGTTGGTCTGCCAACTCGGGGCACATTCCGACAATCACCGCTCACCTTCCACTTCTTAATCACAAAGGCCACTGTCGATTTTGGGTACTTCAGATCGCTAGATATGTCTTTTATGGATCGGCCACATTTGTGATACCCGATAATTATACCTTTCTCGAAATCAGAGAGCTCCGAACTGCGAGGCATTTTGCATGCGACTATAGCCGATGCTGTTTCCTACACGATATATACTGGCGGAGTCTGTGGCGTACCTTAGGACCACAGATATCGTCTTTTGCATAGGTGTCCAAATACTTATTGGTAGTCAGTGTATACGGCTGTGAATCGCCAAAAATATTCCTCAAAATGCTAATTCCCACTCAAAATGACAGTCATAAAAACAGACAGAAATTTCAGATGATTAAAATTAAGGACCTTCTGTTGATTTTGGCCAAAATTAAGGACTTTTAAGGACCAAAAATTGATTCCAAGAAATCTAAGGACTTTTAAGGACCGTACCAACCCTGCATTAATGGCCATGCCATTAATTAATGGGTTAATAGGAACATGGAAAAATTTTTTTCAGGATGACTTAAGGGAAAAAAAAAAAAAAATCATTGGAATAAGTGTATTTGATTAAATGGGGATTATGTTGAAAAACTGCACAGCAATATTGATGAAAACAGACAATAATAATAAATACCTAAATTCCTAGAACTTTAGAAACATCCATTGTATATTTATTGCATAAAATAGACACTTAAAGGATAATATGAGCTGTCAGCAAAAGAAAGCAAGGCAGTCTTGCAGAAGACAGCTCTCACCCCATAAATCATTACATTGTTTAACAGTTAAGATGATAGCATCATAATTCTTTAATATCAAACAAGGACGAAAATTAAATATTTAAAATATTTGGAAAGAAAAAAAATCAAAGTGATAATTATTTAATGGATATAAAAGTAAGTAGCTAAGCATATTCAGAAATTAATACATATACTTGACACAGCACTCATATGAGCAGCAGATATTACAGGTTTTCTGATGAATTCTTTAGCATGCAGGTATTTGCAATGCAGAAAGACAAGATTATTACATAATTTACATCCATCCAAACTGTTAACATAGAATTTAAACATCAATCATGATATAAAGGATAATACACATTTGAATATATAAATAAACTATTTTATTATGCATTAATGCTAGTGCCTCATAAAAGCTACAATTATTTACTTGAATATATGAATAAACTATTCTATTATGTGTTAATGTTAGTGCCGAAGCTACAATTATTTACCAGGAAGAAATCTAAACAGTTCCATTTCAAGAACTTATCCATCAATGGATTATTATTATTTTTTTTTTTTTTTTTGAAGATGTAAATGCTACCAATATGTAATGTAAAATGTGAGAAATATTTTCCTTTTTTACCATATGCCACTACTGGTGCAACTGGAAGTTCTACTAAGGTGCAACTGGAAGTACATCTGGCTAGCAATCAGGAGGTCCAAAGTTCGAACCCTAGTGACAGCATTACTGATTTTTCACGTTTTTTGCTCTGAAATAAACCTAATGACTCAACAGACTTATGCAATGCACACTTTAATAATGAAGCACCAATAATATTTAGCATAATTTTCCATTAATATAACATAAGCTTCACTCACTTTTCACTTTAACCTATAATATAATGGCATTGACCACTACTAAGGCCAGATGCAGAGACCATTTTATTGTGGCGGCACCTAATAGGTGGCCACCATTACCTCCTATGAAGGGACCGATAATTTTAAATCCAAGCCTTCTTCGGGATTCAAACCCAGGCCTTTTGGTATCTCAGTCAGACTCCCCGAACCACTATACCGACTGGGCAGCTGTTTTCACTTATCATTTAATTTATTTCATGATTTCTATATCACTAAATTTTAAAAATGGACCAAACTTTGGGAATTATGCTCACAACTAATTATGCTTTTCAACTTTAACAAGCAACATGAGTGCTTTCCCATATGCATTCTTTTTATTGCACCCTAAGTTCCAATGTGTTTTTTGTAGATAAATTATGATATTGTCTTAAATTCAATTTTAAAACATGCTTGTGATATTTGCCTGCACTTAAAGAAATGGCAGTCAAATTTCTGCAGCAATAATAAACTTTGCCATAAAATTATTAAACAGAAAAATTATTTTGAATATATTCCTAAAGCGATTACCACTAAATTTTCACAGAACTAAAGCAGGGCGCACCCTCTCAAATAGGTTTACTAACTAATGTTTTGGAATGAATAACAAATTAAAATGCAAAATAATGCATATAATATTATTAAAATGTAAAATATGCAAGAAATAAATAATTTTTGTATTTATAAGTTTCCTTTGTCCTTTATAAAAACTGTCAAATATTCCCAGGGTGATTGTGCTAATAGATACCTATTTAACTTTTTTTACTTTTTTAGTTTACTTTTTTTAGTTTACTTTTTTTAGTTGCAAGTATTACTTGCCGTAACAGGTAATTCTTGAAAAGTTTAAATAACCTGCATAACATAAAACTCTTTGTAATGTATCATATTTTACAGATAATCCTTATTATTTCATTTCTGAAACAATTCTACCTTTCTTAATAATTTTGCCTTTCTTAATAATTTCTACCTTTCTTAACCTTTAAGAGACAGGATAGTTTGGAAAGGTTTCACTTAAAAAGACAGGAAATCCAAATGCATTTCCACCCCCCTTTTAGCTGCCATTGTAAAGGGAAACTACTACCCTTTGCAACTTTTCCTGTAGGTCGCCTTTATTAATTTTCAGATAAGAGACTAGGGAATAATATAAAAGAATTTGTTCTCTTTTCTCCTGTTTCTTTTCCCTAAACTAGAGAAAAATATTATGGTGAGATTTCGTAGCTAAATAATTGTTGTATGTTGGAATATTAACTTTTGACATTGCGTCATAATGAAAATATGCCTTAGCAGCAAATGCACGCCTATAATCAGTTCATAGTTTATTCAGTTTTTGTTTGTTTCCAAACTGAATTTAGTTTAGAATTACATGTACTAATTAACATTTTTATTTTATACTCGAAAATGATGTTTGCCTATTTGTTTCTCGTATAAACCGGCAGTTCACTTTTATTTGTTTCCAAGCATTGTGTAACAGCTTATATTTATATATCAAACAAATCCCGTTGTATTTTTCTTATATTAGTTTCGTTTACCTTTTTCATTAGTATTCTTATTCAGTTTAATTTATTGATTCCCCCCCATTGTATCATAAGTTATTTCATCTTTCAACTACATTATTGTTCTTTTTTGCAGTTTCTTGATAAAAGCTTTTTTTATCCTTCAGCATTTTTTACTATTATTATTATTTTATTTTCCTTTGCTTTAAAAACAGATTTTATTGATTATATTTTCATTGCATTTTGCATGTTTCAAACAGCAATATTAAATACAAAAATTACAATAAAAAGGGGAATATAAAGAAAAAATACATTTTTAATGACACAGAAGTTGGTCAAATTAATACTAATGTAAAATTGCTAAAATTTCACTGCTGAGGGAAACAAAAGGGAATTTACGAAACCCCACAGTTGGGAGGCGCGAAGGTCATCTAGCATAAGTGGCAAGGGAGGTTATTCAAACAATGACTAACTCCGCACCCTGAAGGATGGGGGGAGAGGGGAATTCGCTGGCCGATATTTTGGCCACAGCCATCTTTTTGAGACACTGCAGTTCTGGCCGATTCTTAGGCCACGCATCTTTTAAAAGTTAATAATTTTGCCCTGATTTATATCTTATAATAATTGACAGAAATATTACATTACAGATTGACAGAACCATTACAGATTGACAGAAATATTAAAAAATTACCTTTTTTTGCCTTCTTTTTTTTCTTTGGCCTGAAGACAATTTCATCAAAATCATTTTCCTTTGAATTATTATCATAATCAGCATTTTCAGAATCCTCGGCAGAAATGAAATGTTCATCAAGTTTAATAGGAATGCAATCTGAAGATTCTAATTTTACAACATCTGGCAAAGTTTCTTCACGTGGTAGTTTAATACTATTTACTTCAGCTTTTTTCTCTGGTGTTAAAGCTGCTGGCGTACTCACTGATCTCTTTTTCCTTAACCAATTAAAAAGGCTAGAACTATTCTCTGTTGTGGCAGAAAAAGTATCGCCGCGTTCCTTCACTAAACCCAAATCTTTAAAGGGTTCCAAAATGTCTTCAATTAAAGATGATTCTTCTGCACCTGCAAAAAAGATGCATTATCTTTCATAACTGAAAACAAAATTATTTTTCCTCACATTTCCTTTTCAAGGCCGCTATATACTATATCACATTATAAACTATTTGATTACATTTATTTGATAACAACTAAGTTGTTCAAATGTTCATCTCTCTCCATTAATTTAACATTTATCAACATAAATTTTTATGAAATAAATTTATATTAAGCACAGTGGCGTAACTAGAACTCTTGGGCCCCTATGCAAAAAATTTTCCTGGCCCCTTTCCCAATAAATTTAATGTGCTTAAAAATAAAAAATTAAAAAAAAAAAAAAAAGAAAGAAAGAAAAAATTTCAAGCATTGCAGGAGCCAATGTTTTCATGATGATTTTTATCACATCTGGATTAATTGTTAAAAAATAAAAGCACGTTCTTAGGGAACCAGTTGAAAGGTACATAACATGAAGAAAGAATAAAAAGGAAAGTAATTTCCCTTGACCTTGGAAATGAAAATTTGCTTTAGTCTGGGTATTTGATGTCAGATGATTTTAATTCAGTTACTTAAGACTTTTTGTGTGAGTGCGAGAGACAGATTTTTCTCTCCTTTCACTGAGATGCATACTGATAATAAATGAATAAGTCTATATAAAAAAGGAACATGTCAATGTATAGCATTAAGAAAAGGAAGAAAGCCTAAATTTACGGAGATTTTTATATAAAATCCAAGAAGTTTTACATACTAATGTTTTAAATTTTTATATAAAATCTGCGCCTATCGCCTATCTAAGTTTTTTCGCTTAAGTTAGCAAGCTTATAAATAATTAGTTATATTATAAACTGACAGACAAGATAATTGATAAAAGTACAGAAAGGCTATTACATTAGTGTATAGTACTCTGTGATATCAAATTTGGCCCAGTTCGTACCCTACCTTTCGAACATGATTTATGCAATAATATACAAGTAATAAATAAGAACTTTTATAATGTAAATGATACATTTGTTAAATATAAGACATATTTATCATAAACTTCATAAAGAAAACTATTTGAACATACAATTTTTGTAGAAAATATGTATGGTAAAGTTTTTTTCTGTCTTTTTAAAAAACCTTTTGGTACACTAAACTACTTGAATACATGATTTTTATAAAAAATGCTAAAAGAATGCTAAAGTTTTTTACTGTTTCCTTTTAATTTTCCTCAGTCCGTACTGCTCTTCTTCTCTAATTTTTTCCTCCCTCAATAAGTGTAATGATAACATTGGTGGCCAAAATTCATCATAAAGAAAAAAATCCTTCTTTTAAAATTTGCGTCTCCTAATCTTCATTTCCGCAAAATTATTTATCAATACTTGGACGTCCATTTTCTCAGCCATCTCAGCTTCAACGCTCAATAGTGAAAGGTTTGACAACCGATCTTGTGTCATGCTGTTTTTTATATATGTTTCTTAAATATGTTTTTATTAGTTTCAGTAGTGAAAATGACCTCTCACTCGTGGCTGTGGTTACAGGTAATGATAAATACAATATAAGTAAATTGCACACTCCCGAATAACTACTTGTCATGTCATAATATTTTACCATTGCTAATTTAGCTAAATCCTTAAAGGATTTCAAACTTTTGGATTTCTGTTCTGAAAGTATTTATAAATAATAAAAGTTGTACTTCCAGTGCAAGTCTTCTTTATATGTTTTCTGTATTTTTGAAACATTATTAATAATTTCCATATTTGTTAACAATGGACAGTGTTTTTAGGTTCTTTATTTCTCTTTTATTTTTCAAATTTAGTTTCTATGCCCCATTTATTTGCAATAAACTCAGCTTTTTCATAATGTCTTCAAACTTGTTTCTCATATCTTGCATATTAATAGAAACGCTTTTAAGATGTTGATGAGCTCCATTCAAGTCAATTGATTTTCGATTGTCGAGCCGATTGATGGGTTGATCGATCCTGCACTATAGCGCAGGAATGTGTTTAAAAAATTTTGTTTTTCATTTTGGCCTGTTATGATGTTTCTTAATGTATGGAAACATAGATTATATTTATACTTCATATTTATCATAAAAATATTTCATGTTAATATTACAATACGTTATTAATATTAGTAGACATTTGCATTGTTAATGGTGATAATTTTGGATTTTTCAGATAAATGGATTAAAAGTTTAGCTGAATTGAAGTTTTAGCAAGTTTTAAATTATAAGAATTTAGTTTATAATTAATTTAGATATTACAAATCAATAACTTACCTTTATAATGAAGAATTATATTTGAGATCACTTTGAAATTTAATTTTAAAGAAAAACTTCTGTTTGTTCTCGCCATAGACTAGAGAAATGGCATTAGAATAAGAGCAAATTTACGTTCAGTTTACTGTTCTGAGTCATCAGCCAATTTACAAGTATACTTGAGGGGTAGCGTTTCACACTTCAATGCGGTGGCTTAACAAAAAAAGGGACCTGAAATCACCCTTCAATGTAGCTGTTTAACGAAGAAAGGGGCCCCGCCTCCACTATAAATTTCCAGTGTCTCCCCAAATTGAGTCACAGTAAAACTTTCATCCAAGACTTTACTGTAAAGATGTCCATTTCCCTTTTAAAACGCTAAAACATCTGTATTTTTTTTTCCCCTTCAGTCAAATTGTACTATTATTATTGTCATATTCCAATGATACATAATATATCACCTGCAATATCTTTCTACATTTCCTCTGTACTATAAATGCATTTGAGTTAATGTATAATTATTAAATATTGAACAGTAAAAATTATGGATATTCGAATATTTTTAGGAAATTCTTCACAAGTTTATGATGAAATCATAAACAGTTAGAAACAAATTTTATTGATATGTATCCAAAGAGCTTTGAAAATGATTGTGTAATACGAAATGGAAATTTTAAAATTAATCTAAATTTAAATACTCACTGTAGCAAAATATGATATTCCCTTCTAAGTTTCAAGGTCTCAGAAATGTTTAATAATTTAGAGTTAAGCTTATTGATACTAACGTATATTTGAAGATGAGTACTCGCACTCTGTCGCATGGATTCTAAAAGTAGTACACATAAATAGTATTTGCTTAGGAAACAAGTAGAAAGTTTCTTCATAATAGTAAAAATAAAATTGTATGAAACAAGTTTTGCGTACTTCGTAGAGAAATGCGCAAAACTTCATTTAGGAAAATAGGTTTGTTGTACCCCAGGTGGATCAGAAAGCAAAAATCAGTTAGGTAAAGCGGATATATTTTAGGAGCATTAATATTTATGATTATTGTTATGTTTTATTATTCATTTCTTAGAAAGCTATTTATGTCTCAGAAATTAATGACCTCAGATTTCCAGTCTTTACATTGTTTATAAATTAAGCAGTATCATTTTTTTTATCTTAATCATTAATTTATTAATGACAAAAATATAAAAAATAAATATAATGTATGGGAACATATATTAACGGAAGTTTTTTTTAGAAAAGTTATGCAGTGATGCCAAAAAAGAAATAGAATAATGTATAAAGGGATTTTATGAGTGAAAATCGCATCATTTACTATTAAAACGTGTTAATTAAATTTTTTATTTTGCAAAAATTATTGAAATATTGCAATAATGGGGGAGCATTCTTTTCTGAAATATTCCATTCGTTTGTGAAGTGAAAATAACAATGTAATTCGCGTTCTTTCAGATGTTGAAATGCAACTTAAAACTATTAGTGCAACGCTGCCATTGATATGTTTAATATTTTCTGTAATTATTTTATCGAAATTTACGAAGTAGTATATACTTTTAGTTGTGTGATGCCATTTTTATATATATTATTATATTGTTATTGATGATTTCACGTACTGAATGCTGTGGAAAGTAAATTAAAAGCAAAAGTAAAGTAAATTGTAAAATTTCATTTCAAATAACGATTAGAAAGTACTCCATGAAGGCGTTCTTCCCCTTGGGAAAATAGTCCTCGAATGCTTTATTATTATATAATAATTCAAATCAATTCCGTTTAAATAACTTTCAAATTATTGCTTGCACATTACTCAATTATACGCTTAAATGTTTCACACTGTTAAAAAAAATTATAATTTATGATATTTTTTTCAAACGAAGAGAGATTAATATATTACTTTCAAAACAAATTTAATGTCTTCAGAATTATCTTTTACAGGTAATTGTGAATTTTTGGTAGATGGGTAATTTACAGTTAAGAAACACTACAGCTCTTCTCTTTTCTAAAGCAAATCAAGTAAATCCTCAAACGAGTTTTGTGCTTTCAGATTTAATTCTCGATTAGGGATTTGAAAGAATTCCTTACCTGCATTTTATCTGCAATGTGCGAATATTTTGAAAATTTTGATATGAAAAATTGGATAAATATTTATTTACTCATTATTTCAAGTAAAACATATTCATCCAGTCCCATTTCCTATCCCCATGAGTGAAAAAGTAATGAATTTCGATAAATTTAATAAAAAAAATTTCATTAAATTTACGTCGGAAATTAACTGAAATATTTGGCCGCTTAATGTCTAAGCATCTCTGTGTTCGTAGCCTGTCGTAAAACTTCCCCCCTTTTTTTCGGACCTTGAATTCATTCAAAAATCCCTAAGCCGAAAGGGAAATCTCTCCTTTCCAAATGTGGTGTCATAAATTCTTAGCGTTTCCTTAGAACGGCATTTCAACACATGGAGGTAGGAAGTACCTTTCTTACCTCCATGTTTTGACATGGGGGTGGGGCAAAGTCCTTTCATGCCACAACTGCTCAACTTACGTCATGATTTTCTGTCCTTAAGAAAGAAAAGCATGTATTCTGGAGTTATCAATTGATACTTACGAATGATTCTCCCCTCCAGCTCATTAATGTAAAAAACAGAGTAAAAAAATCAATCCGCATTTAACTTTGCCATTTTGTAATGTCAATCGTGCTTCTAAATCCAAAATGGTTCTGTCCCTTACCTTCCCGCTTGGTGCGACTGCACAGGTTGCAAGTACCATCATTTTTTACATTGTGAGAACTATACATTCAA